TCCTTCCAACCAAAACCATTCCATGACCTTTCCTCTCACTCATGCTCCTCTTGATTCCCAGTTCTCACTGGTTTTGGTGGGTTTGGGTGCTGAATGAGGGCAGTGCTGCTCTCAGGAGCGGTGCTCGGTGTCCCACACCCAGGGGAGGGCACTCAGCAGTTGCTCACAGCTCCTCTCTCCATCATTCCCTGCATCTGCTGCAAGGACTGGGAGGCCAAATTTCTTCAGCCTTACCCTGATGGGTTTTCCAGCTGTCYGTGAAATTATATTTTTATATATARAYTTMTTTARTATTTTCTATCTATTTTARTATTTTCTATATTAAAATTATATAGAATTCATATTTGATTAAATATAAAACATTTAATACCTATATTTCAAAAGGATTTCAATGTAGATACTAAATATTCTTGTTCTCTTGTGGGATTTCAGATCCCAAAGGGGATTTTGGGTGCAGTCCTGGCAAACCTTCCTGGCACCCACACAGGTTGTACTGAACTTACTTCCCTGGGTTTAGAAAAGCTGTGATTGTCAGGTGACATTTGGGGACACATTGAACCTGCCCCAGTAAATGAAACACAGCCTGGAAATCTCCCCCAGATCCTGGACCTTACTGCCCACGTTTTTAACCATGAAGATGGACCCTGTTGTGGGGCTGACCCGGCTGATTTACCCAACCCTGAAGAGATTTGAGTCACGGTTTGGGGTTAGAGCGGGACAGGAACTGTTCCAAACAGACCCTCGAGGTGTGACCCGGCCGTTCTGGAGGTTTGGGGCGGTCAGCAGGGTGGATGAAGGGTGCCAGGGAATGGTCCCAGAGTCTCTTTTTTGCCTGGAGAGACCTAGGGGTGGTGTGGAATGCCCTGAAGTGCCCGTGAGCCGCTCTGGCATGAGCAGAGCTGACAGCACTGCCCAGGTTTGTGCTGGTGGGTGTTCTGAAGCTGCACAAACAGAATCAGGATTAAAAGCACCAAGGGACAGGATTTCTGTCATTGAAGTGTCACTGTCAGAGAGGCAGAGGATGGAGACACTGGGGTGAGATGTCTCAGGTGACACTGATGGTGACAGAGCCTGGGGCAGAGGACAAAAATCTCATGCACTGTAGAAATGCAGCTGGGGGAAGGTTTTGAATTCGAGGTCCTGGTGGCCCTGGCAGTGCTGGTTTAATGCTTGGGATGATGATATTAAAGGTTTTTTTCCAACCTCAGTGATTCCATGGTGGCTGAGACGCTCCTGTCCATCAGACACTGGGGAGTACAAAATCCATTTATCCATTCCTTGGTGCTGGGATTTACAAACCAAACCAATAACGAGCTGCAAAGTGCTTCCTCTGCAGGAACCAGCAGGGAAAGAGACCACACAAAGTGACCCCAGACCCAAATTCTGAGGCTTCATTTGCTGTTGTGGCCGGGCAGAGCTGTCAGAGTGCCTCGGGAAGGGCTGTGCTACAACAGGAGGGAGATTCAGAGCTCCCACCCAGCCCCACAGTGATGTGGGGTGGTTCTCAAAGATGCACAGCAAAGGGGTGACCCCAATCCCACAGAACCCATAGGAATGCTTTCCATGGCTCCCACAGGGGTCTGAGGAAGTTTCTGGA